CAAGATCAATCTAAAGTAATCTGAAAGTGCTTTATTCGGAGCCGGCGTGTTTCAGTGGTCAAACAGTATTGTAAGAGCACTGTCATTCTCCAGCGGTAGAGCTTGACGCTTTTACTGCACCGAGGGCTGCAAAAAACATTTGTCGTCTCTCCTGGAAAGCGGAGTAGCCGCAGTCAACGACCCACGTGCACCTTTAATATGGGAGGTTTAACGTCTCAAAACCACTGTATGATTGTGAGAGACGCCTTAGTGGAGGACTCCGAAAATTTTGACCACATGGGGTTCTTTATAGTGCACCCAAATCTGAGCACATGGGCCTGCAACATTTCCGCCTCCATTGGAAACGCAGCCGCCACAGCCGGAATTCTATCCCGCGACCTGCGGGTCAGCAGCGGAGTACCTTAGCCACTAGACCACCGCGGCGGGGCCACGTGCACATTTGAAAGTCACAGACTCCGTTTCGTTTTCTTTTTTTTTCAACCGCCGAGTGCGCGCGGCAGAGGTAGCCACTATGTGTAGTTTAACACAAGTGTTGGCCGTATTGGTGTCCTTTTCTACGAATAGCGTCGATAACAGCAGGACGTCTGGTGATTGCGTCGTCGCGCAAACATACTATATATTAGGATAATGACGAACATGCGACTCAGACTTGACGTCACTTTTGCTGCAGTCCCACAGAGACAGCTGGGGCTGGAAAAGCTTCGACCACGTTGCCTACCCACTCGTCACGCTCTCGACTGCTCTTCGGGATCCAGTGGCAATCGCAATTCAGTGGCAGATCGAGCTGGTCTGCTTTCAGTGCTCTGCCTCCCGCTTCTCACTGAACTACCCCACGGCTACTGTCCCTTCAATGAAATTCGCCATAACACAGGGTGCATACGCACTTACTTGAGCACTTTTCGTTTCTGTGATGCTTCATGATGATAATGTGTCATGGCCAAACTGTCTGATTGCAATCTGTTTCAACACTTATATCATCCACTCGTTTCACATTTTGCCGCGTGTGCCGGCTGCGGCGACTCTACGTGTCTACTTCGCGATACTACGTCTGCTAATCTGTTCGTCCTTGCGTAGGCTATTTCCTTAAACTAATTCAACCATGGCGTGGTTTCACTCCCCAGGTGGAGTCCGTTAACTGTAAGCTGTCAGCCTGGCTTGAAATGCGCCGGCTATTGTTTGTTTTGTTTACTATGCTGAACATGTGTGATAGCTGCGAACTTGGTGGGTCTGGGTGGCGGACAAAATAGCCACCTACATCGGAGTAAGCGAGCCGATTAGTTGAGTGCGTAAGGCTTCATAAATAAAGAGAAAACAGCACTCTACACATGAAAAGTGACATAAAAGTAGCTCACACCCACGTGTCATTTTTCGACGACACGTGTGTAATCTGTTCTTTTATATTTTTCCGCCAAACTCCATAGTTCTTGTGGGCTATAACACTTTTCTATGTAAATTATGCTTCTATGTCTTTTTGTTTCATTAAAAAACATGGATTGGTGATCACTTGATTCTGAAGCTAGTGTACTCTGTTTATTACTATTTATATGCTGTTTTCGGTCTAGAAATTGCGCGATGCTCAAAATCACCTATTATTGTGGCAGGACATGGCCGGTCTGGAAGTGCTTTATGGATTCTTCCTTGTTACCATTTGCAGGTGCCGTGACTACGAGTTTTTTAAGCCTGCGCAGCCGTGATGGTGTAATCCGCGTGAGGGCATTCGTGATCCAGGTGGCCCTCGTGCCACGCAATTCAAACTATCTTCAAAAATTCAGATAATTTCTCTAATATTTACTCTTTCACCAGTATAAGGCCAATATTCATTTTCAATAAACTGTTTTTTGAGTCCTGGCTTACGGTAGATTGTCTACGATAATATTTTACTGCTGTCGTCGGCACGCAGTGATTTTACTGAGGTGCTTCCCGAAACAGAACCAATCTTGCCCGTATTTAGTCAGCCGCCGTTGTACTTTGTATAGAGCTTAACCGACCAAACGTCAACATAAAGCGCAAGATGTAGTCAACTAGGGTACTGAACAATTCAGTCATGTTTTTCACGCACACGCATACGCAGAGTGATAAGTCTGGCATTTGAGGCACTGGCGATACTTAGGCACTTCATGATTACGTGATCGAACAGCTGCTTTTGAGTGCCACACAAACCTTCAGCTTTTTTTTCCGGAAACAAGCATGTCCTTTTAGCTGGCGTGGCTCCCGCGCCAGATGTTCGGAGGATGAGGCGGCCTTAGCAACAACACAACTGCCATGAAAAACAGGATGATAAAGGCATGTGTCTGCTCGTTCTTGCATTTTTCGCCACTTCTATACTCAATACGTGCAAATCAAATATCAGACATTTCGATGGCGAATTCATGTGTTAACCCAACATTCATTTTGTCAAATGGTTGTCATGGTTGTCTGATAAAAACAAACAAAATAACAACCAGCTCTTCCTCGTGCAGACTTGTTCAACGATGAAGCTGGTAGCATTCCCCTCCTCACACCATTGTAATTCTGAGTATTTCAAGTATTCCCCATATTTTGTATTGCTACCACAACAATAGAAATCAGATTCGGGCCAACAAGAGAGCCCACGAAGTGGCGGTCAGGCCCAGCCTGCCCGTCCCAATGTGGGAGAATCTTACCACGCCTTAGTCACGTCTCGCTGCATCCTAGATAAAGTTCCACCAGACATCTGTCCATCCATCAAACACTCTTCGTTAAGATTAGAGGACGCGGTAAAGCTACCTTCGTTGATAACCACGTGACAGCCGTGGCAATTTCCTAACGGGCGTTTATTGAAGCATGTATTCGACGAAATATTCGCCCTCCTAGGGCAAACTCTCTGACATATGTGCAGTATTAGGTTAGATTTAATCAGTGAGTAAAAACTTTATCGTAAATGCGCTGCTGTATTTAGTGGGATGGAGTACAAGTAACCCAGCCTTGGTGACTACCTCGAGCCCTTAGACATCGGCGGCTCCCTGGTTGTGCCACACGGGCAGAGGTTCATCGGCGAGGTAATGGCTAAGCAGAGCCGCCTCCAATCGCGTCGTGCGGTTCGAGAGTGCCGCTATATGAAATGAAAAGCGTTGGTGAAAGAGAATACGTTCAAGCTGTTCCAAGAGATCCATACCAAGAGCGGTAATTGATTGCGTATTTGATTATTTATGCACATACCCTGCAGTAGCCTGAAAAGAACTTAGTTTTCTTATTGCCTAAACAAGGCGACGAAAATATCAATTATATTCAACACGGAGAAACCCATTTGATCACCCGTCATCCTCAAAATGTCACGGTGATATGAGACATAAATATTGGCACTAAAAAGAACCGAAATTCTCTAAAACATTTACTAAACTCTCATTAAATTTAAAATGATCGTTCTTTTCCAGGGCATATACCACCTCCAGTAGAGATCATGCGAATCAAAGTTGGTAGTCATTGTCATCTGAAATCGCTCACTGCCCGCCACTAGAGAAATTGCGGAGGCCTGATTTGCACCATTTTTTGGTAGGAAAAGTTTAGCACGTTTTTAGACCAATTATTCCTTAAAATGTTAATGAACATTCTCTAAAACATGTATAATTGAAAAAGTGCTTTCGAGAAAGGCGAAATATGCAAGATATTATGGCAGTTGCTGCCAAACATCTGCTACGAATTCGATAAGATTATGAATTTGTTTTGAAAACAATATTTGCTTCTTTTTTCTACACTGGCAGCTACGTTTCTGGGTATTGAATTTCTGAGCGATTAAGGCTGATCATCACCTTGACATAACGCTTGCCATTTTCTGCGGTGATTACACGGATTTAAGCGAACAAAGATTGTTTAAAATCAGCAATTCTTTAGCGTGACTATGCCAATAAAGCACTATTTTACTATAGTACATATGTGCACATCTTTTTCCCTAGTACAAGGTCTGCGTCCTAATGGGCCTTTTTCGAGTACGTAGTCTGCACGTGTGCACGTTTCTGGCTATCAAAACGCAACGACGGAAGAGAACTGAGGACTATTTGGTCTCAAAAGCGTGCAAAAGTTTTCCTACCAAAATTAATATTGGTGTAAATGCAGGCCTCCTCAATATCTCTACTGGTGGTCGACGAGCGATTTTGGATGACAATGACTGCCAACATTGATTTGCATGGTCTCTACTGGAGGTGGAATTTGCCGCGAAAAGAGCGATCATTATAAATTTCATGAAGTTTGGTAAATGTTTCTTTGTGAATAACTTGGATGATTCATCCTCATATCGTGTAAACGTACCATTGGGAAAAAGGACTTGAGCATGTGCCGTTGAGTCGGAAGAATTAGGAGTTAACTCTACAGGCATCTTTAAGCTTCTCTAACATTGGTATGGTTAAGCACATTAAAACTTGCGTAAATAATTTTCGTCAATTAGGAATTTTCGTTATAATATTTATTTAGGTTGAGGTTTTATGTGAAGCATGCATTTGACGTCTAAACATTTGTTGTGGGTTCCTGCAGCAAAGACACACTGAATAAAAACTGTCATTGTCGAGTAATTGCAGAGGTAATATCTTTTCTGTTTTTTTTTCGCTAACGAGAACGTCCTACACTTTTTGGAGGTAACGTAGGGCGGTGACACGTTCGTTTTTTTTTTGTTTGAGAACGAGTAACGTATTTTTTTACTTTTTTGCGGTAGAGTGTAGAACAGTGGTTGAGCATAACCTAGCGTGAAATAAACGACCGTTACCTCGAAAGAGGCAATTCGTCGCCAAAAATCAAATCATTGCTGGATGAATAAAATAACATTAACCACTAAATTTTTCCAACGAATTCTACTAAATGAGTGGTTAAACCCAAACTAGCTCGAAATACATGGGTGTGTTTCACGTTGTAATACACAATCGACCAAAAACCATTAGCTTGCCAATATACAATACCTAGCCAATAAATTCTACAAAATGCTTCGTAGACCTCAACCTTGAACAATATGCATTTTCAATGTCTTCTAACAGGCAAGAATTTGTCAATAAATAGGTAATCGGTCAATGAACAATATATTCTGAACAGTGCTTGGGTGAGCTTAGTTTATGATATGCATGACCTATACCTTGTTATAGTTAATCGAGACTTCAACAATAAATCAGTTGCTAAACAAAAGCAAAAGACAACGTTTGGACGTGCTTAGCTCAGCCTCAATTTGACATGTACAGTTTCGCCGAGATTCGGAACAGAAAACGCATGTGAGTGCAGAGCACGTTCAACTAAAATAAGTTATCTAGCAATGCCTGCCAAAAACATGACGATAAAAATCATCTCGCACCACTAAGAAAAAAAAACAAGCATCACCTCGGAACAATGAACGAAAAAAAGCATCACGTCGCCGAGATAGGCAAGACCAAGCAACACTCGTAAACACCTGAGCAAGCTTGGTGCCAATCAATTATGCTGTTTCTGTAGCGTTACGCCACTTGTGAAAACTACGCTAATTGGTTCAACGCACGTTAGCCTCCGTAAATGTGAGATAATTGCGCAATAGCAAAAAAAATCAAGGCTTTACAGTCTGTCTCATGCCATGCTAAGTCTGCTTATTCGCTGAAACATGTTTTATTACTTGTAAAAAAATAGCCGCATTAGTTATTTCAAACCACTCTAGTTCACCAGTATGTTAAATTCTCCCCAAGTTTTACGCGCTTCGGAAATTCTTCTTACGAGTTTCTGGGTGCCCACTGTTCAAATGAATTGTTGGTAAAGCGCTGAGTCTGTCTAATAATCTGTTACTTTCGATGAAGGCAGAAGCTCGTATTTTAAGCTGAGTTGATCAGCCTCAATGTACCCTTCACGTTCCAGATCCTCCAGGCGTACGAAATGGTTCCAATAAAATTCTGCATTCCTTGATTTTGTCGGCCTACCACAATGTTCGGGATCAAAAGGAGTGACATTTAAAACCTGAAGGTGTTTGTCTGAAGATGGATGCATATATGTGAGCTTCACTTTGTGTAAGAACGGCCACTGTAAGAATTCATCCACCACACCTTTATGCAGCTGTAATCCTGCGTGCACTGAAACGGTGTTCTCACGTTTCTTCATATACAATAAAAACGTAATGTGATAGCCACAAATGTATATGGGCTCGCATGTGTCTCTCGCTAAACCTGTTGATGTCGCTTTTTCTTTCAAAGCCTTGATTTCTTTTACACAAAATGCATGCAGTGTAATGCTCAATGTGTTCTTCGCTAAGAGCAGAGTCTCATTCTCACACAATGCCTTTTTGCCACATTCCATCTCTTTCACCTTTGGTGGAGCAAAAAGCTCAGCATATGTTTTGCACTTCTGTACGATGGCTTTTGTTGCACGCTCCAGTGCTTCATCGAGAATACCCTCGAATAAGCTCACAATGTCTGAGACTCTCTGAAGCTGGTTGTCGTCTTTTGTACAACGTCGCCTCAATTCGGCGTGGCTCTGCTCCAGCTTCTCCAGAGATTGTTGCGTGGCGTTAGCTGTACTTTTGACATTTTCACCTAAAACACCTAATCTTCGTGAAAATTCGTCAAACTTTTCACCTTGTGCAACCAAGTCTTTTTTCACTTCGTTAAACGCAGTGTTTTTCACCACAATCATTTCCTGTTCTTGCTTTTCTGATATCTGCACCACTGTCTCTCTAAGCGCATTTAAAATATCCGAGACCTCATCCAATCTCTCGCTGTTGGTCACGTGCTCTTGTAAAATCTGTTCAATTCCAGCTTTCAGTTCCCCGACGCATTCACTCAACGTCGTCTCCAAAGCGGTGATCATCGGTTCCTGAACTGAATTCCTCCACGGCTCCAGAGGTTGGGCGTGTTTGGGTAATGCATGCGTGCTGCAGTTACTTCTTCGATGCGCACACAGATTTGTCCTCAGAAGAAGCGCTGAGCAGCTCGGACAACGCGTAGTGTGATGCACGCATTCTTCATCAAAATGCTTCAGCATGTCTGAAATAGTCATGACGGCGTCGCAACCGTTGTCCTCGTTCCAACATTTCACCTGCAGCAAAAGGAATGTCATTTGATGAAACAACATTATTCGAACAAAAACCAAAACTTGGAGCAGACATACATGTTGGCTATTTCTTTGATACAAACATGCAGATTACTATTCGGAATGTTTATCCTCCCAAGATCAATATTCTTTATGAACATTGGAATCCCTGCTACCTGGGTAAAAGTTCGTTATCAAATTGGAACTTTCGCAAATGTAGCACGTAACAAACGGCAATCATATTTAAAGTATTCACTGAAGGGACTACTATTAGCTTAAAAACAGCTGAGAGTAAAGATAAATTTATTAAAATTAGATAACTGTGGAAGTTTTCTAAGTTCCAACACATATTCTTACTATTTATTATTCCACTATTCCGCGTCCCACCAGCGAAGGCTGGCGGCCCCTCATGAACCACGTCCGCATAAGTTGCCCATGTAATGGTCATAATCTTTTACTGGTTTCACTCAAAGATACCTTGCTTTCTTCCTTCAAGAGACAAATTGTCTTTCTCTCTCTTTGATGCAGCCAGGAGCGTAAAGTACCCGGAATACTCACGCAGTTACCACAAAGCATCGCAGGTTTCTAGTTGATTGAAATGTGGTCATTGTAGCACACCTAGCACAAGTGAATTGTGCTTTGCAAGGAAGCTGTGATTGTATCTTCTATACTTTAGGCAACTTCGTGGATTCAGTAGGTATGGATGAACTCTTGGTTTCGTACGCCCTGTTTCTGGGGCCTGGAGCAGTTCACTCGACCAAATTGTGAGTATTATGTGTTTGGCTGGCTTCTGTGTGTTGTTTTCCTAATATTTTTTTTTCGTTCTACGTTTGCTGCGAATTGTTGTTTAAGCTTTCGAGAAGTCTGGGTTCGGTAAGGTACAAAGGATGGTATAAACGATCCCATAAGGAGTATTCATCGATCTATATGCCGTGATGTTGAAGGGGATGTTTACGAATAGTGTAAGGTTAAAGAAATCGTAGTTTTTGTTTTGTCTATCAGATCGAGAAGCAGGTCGTAAGCTGAAATTCGAGACTTCTCGTGACCTAGCTATAGCGTTTGAGTTAGGCGTTTTCTTACCAGAAACAGCGAGATCGTTTTACCTCTTTCATCAGGCCCTTCGCCTTAAATCACTTTGTACTTAAAAAAATACTCACGCGTTTTGGAAAGACGACTGGTGCTTCGGTTGGGGTCTTTTCGAAAATTTAATCCGGAAATTGTATTGTCTACGTGCGGCTGTATACAAAAGAGTGTGCTGCCTCTTACGAGGTGCCCGAATGTCCTATCAGCTGGTGTCGAGATACCGGGCTCCGAGATACCAGCATGGTAGCCCCATTCCTACAAAATGACCACGCACAGCGCAACAAAGGCTGATGTCTGGCCCGTACTCGCATGATCATTGACTGCCGCGAATCGCAGCTCTAACACGTTCGCAGATGCGGCGCAATACGGTGACTTCTCTGCTTTGCACTGGTGGTATGGGAGATTGCAACGGAAACCGATGCAAAGCAGCTTTGGTTAGGCTTGCAACGAGTGCCATAGCTTAGCAGGTGGTTTTACCTTTAGCTCTGACTAATTCCTAACACAGCAACGTATTCACAGACATCAACACCACAGATCGGGCTTACCAAACAGGCAATGTATCGTATGAAGCAACCCATATTTTACAAAAGCGCAAGCACTTCAGCTCTCACTAAATTTCTTCGCTACTTGCTACATGAGCAAAGTCCTCAGAACAGCCCAACGTCAACGTAACGGCTCATGACCGAAAGCGAGAACTAACGGCCACGACGATGAATTAGGCGCCAATAAGCTGAGCCCACACCAACAGCTTAACGACGCATTACTCTTTTTACAAGAAATCACATCTCGAGGAGTAGCCGGCGCCACGCATTGCACCAACCGCTCCTTACATACATTTAATAAAAAAAAATCACATCTCGCATCCGTAATGATAGAAGACAACACCCCTTGCTGCACACAAACATTGAAAGCGCCCAAGGCGCCCCAGGGGTCCCAAGGAGTCCAAGGGGCCTTTCACATGCTATATGTGAGATCAAAACCATCACAAAGATGACTTAGTCATTGCATCACGGTCATCATTAGTCTGAATATGCCCGCTGCAGGGCAAAATGCCTCTTCCTTGATCGGCCAATAAAAGTGGTCTTGTGTGTTCTTAGGCCATGGTATGCCTTCGAACTTTTTAATTTCATCGGCCCACCTAGCTTTGTTTCCTTTTCATTGGTTTCCTTGCTCTGGTAATCCCCTCAGCTACGCTGAATGATCAGAAGTTCGCCTGCCTACGTGCTGCGTGCCCGGCCCACGTCCAGTTTTTTTGTTGATTTCCACTGCGATATCTTTAACCCCGGTTTGTTTCCTGACTCACTCTCCTCTCTTCTTGCCTTTTAAGGTTGTACTTCTCATTTTTCTCTCTATCGCTCGCTCCGTCGTAATCAAGTGAAGCCCAGCACTTTTCATAAGCCTCCAGGTTGCTGCTCGATAAGTAAGTATCGGCAAGATGCAGCTATTATATACTTTCCAGTTGAGGGCTAGTGGTAGATTACCACTGATGTTTTGAGAATGGTTGCCGACTGTGATGCACCCCATCTTTATTTTTCTAATTATTTAAATCTCCTCGTCCGGCTCCTTGGTTATTACCTATCCTAATGTAAGCATTGCTTAAACATAATATAACGCAGAGCACTACAACGCCAACACAAGAAAAGAAAAGGGGACAAAGTGGAGGACTTACTCGCAACTGAGTTTTCATTGAAAAACAAGCACGAGAAAACATCATTTTAACCTTATAAGAAGACATTTAGCTTTAAAACTTCCACCATCTCTCCACCTATCACGAAGCGTTGTTTTCTGCTGAGGCTGTTGCTCATTATTTTAGTTTTTTGGATATTATTTCCGGAGTTATTTTTCTGCTTTCCGTGTAATCCTGAGCTGAGTAACTCATCAAGGCGGCGTCATCAGAGAACCGCAGGTTACTATGATACTTTCCAGTAACTCTTATCCCTAACTCTTCTCAATATAGCGTCCTGAAAACCTCTTGTAAACACGTGGCGAAAAAGATTGGAAAGATTGTGTCTGCCTGCCTTACACCCTTCTTTATTAGAATTCTGTGCCTCTACTGTTCGTTCTCTACAAAATATTGAGAAAAATATTAGCTTGTGGAAATAAAAATCAACCAAAGGACTGAGCTGTATTTCGCACAGGTTACTCCACTTTATATTATATTTATGCTATCTATCAGGTGAAATATAAATGTGCGGAATACATTCAGCCCCTATACATAGCCCTCATAGATTACGAGAAGGCGTCTGACTCAGTCGAGACATCAGCAATGATGCAGGCACAACAGAATTAGGGCATTGACAAGCTTCACAGAAACATACCGCAAAAAATTTACAGCGGAGCCACAGCCAGTAAAGTTCTTCATAAAGACAGCGACAGCCATTACAACCAAGACAAGACTCCATCATGCCACATTTGCACAGAACTTAACTGTTCACTCTCCCACATGCTCTAACAATGTCCCACGTTACATCAGGGTGCTCTAAGGAGTGTGTTCGTCTGGGAAAAAGCACTCAGGAACTCCGAGCTCGATCACCAACTAAAGGCGCCCTAATAGTACCCAAGAACAGGTGGGATGCCACAACGCTCCCTCTCTCAATCAGGTGTCACATACGGTAGCGGATGTTAGGGCTGTCCCACGTGGACTCCATGGCAGCCTTAACTCCTCACAACTTCCTATAAAGTTCTTGACTGATAGCAGTTAGGTGGAAGCATTATACAGAATCTCACAAACTTTCAAAAGGCGATTAGTGAACATGTGAAGTCAATTGCAAACTTTGTAGAAGAAGCAAACGTATGATGCTAGAGTAAGCTAGACAGGAATATGCTAAAAACAGCTAAGTAATGCGTAGAAAATCTATAGGCGTTTTTTTTTGTACGTGGCGCCAAGGGCCGACATGAGACAACAGGAGATCATAGATGAGAGCATAGGAAGACCCGAGAACGTGAAGCTTTTTTTCTTTCGCTCACAAAGTCAAGATGCTTACCTTGCGCCTCAGCAGATTCTTCATGGGGAAAATTTTCCATTCAGCATCTTTTACGAGGAATTTATCCCCATCCAGTGGACATTCGCAGATTCCGTTGACCAAGCACTGCGGGTAGCACGTTTTGCAGAGCACATGTCGACATGGCAGTGAAGTGGTCGTTTGTGGAAGCAACCCACAGACAGCGCATATTCTGACGGCCGGAATGGGCTCAGCGAAGTGAAAAGGCCTGTAGCCCAGTTCGTGGGAAAATCCGGACACACTGTATCGCTGCATGCTGAGAGCCACGAAGGGCGCAGCGCGTTCGCCAACAGGAAATTGTTGTCAAAGCGGCGTCCTTATCCCAGCGACTTGCTTGTGCTGTGTGGTCACGCGATGGATACGAAAGCTGCTATCAGTCCGATAAGGGAACGCCCACATCGCAGTTGTCTGAGCACCTCACAGCGAAGCCAATTTACTGCTCGAGCAAACAGGGTGCCTCGTCTACATCGGCCAAAGAGTTGCCGCGTGTTGGCAATGCCACTGCACGATTGCCTTCCATGGCTCGCGAAATTTCGTACACACACACGCTTAACACGTCATAACAATTCCTTCTTTTGTGAACGCTCTTTTTGAGCCGCTTGTGCCAAAAGAATGATGAGTTTTATTACAAAATACAGTACCCTAACCCCGAACCAACATGGCTTTAGAAAAAAAACACAGTTCGGCTACTGCGCTAAGCTTTGTGGCTAAGGTACTCGGCTGCTGACTCGCAGATCACGGGATCCAATGCCGGCTGCGGCGGCTGCATTTGTGATTGAGGCGGAAATGTTGTAGGCCCGTGTGCTCAGATTTGGGTGCCCGTTAAGAAACCCCTGGTGGTCGAAATTTCCGGAGTTCTCCACTACGGCGTCTCTCATAATCATATGGTGATTTCGGGATGTTATACCCCACATATCAATCAATCCTACTTACCTCGGCGTGACATTAGACCATTCATTCCAGTGGACGCCTCACGTAGACAATTGGTCTAGTAAGTGAGGTTTAGATGATTTACATTGTTTTGGTGTGGAATTTATTTTAGCGCACACATACTCCTATATTACACTTGAACGTATTTCATTCTCACCTAACTTAATACATCAAATCATGGAGCTACGCATAAGCCTCATCTTGTTTGTTACTCATTTGCACAAAAGCGCTTTGCGAACCAATGCATTAGCGCCAAAAAGTGCACCACTGGCTGAATTTTTCACAAACGTTTATATAATGTCATCTAAAATGGTTAGTAATTTAAAAGCGCTTTATTGTTACGCGAAATTATGAATAATAACGCACCTCATCACTCATCAATTATATCGAAACCCAGAGGTAAAGCTCGGCTGTCAAAACAACATAATCTTATTCTGCCGATAGTGGAAATTGTCTACAGTCGTTTAACAAAACCCTATGTTTCTACTAGAACTTTAAACGGTATATCCACACTAAATAAATGTCTGCCAAATATGGTGCAGTCACTCGGAAATCTCTTTGTTTCAGGGAGTTAGTAGTTGCCATAATAATGTTGCTGAAATGTATGTACACGTCACATTATTCCTCGTTCATTTTTTTTACATGAGTGTATTTGAATCGTGGATTTTGTGGAATTATTGGTGTAATATTGTACTCGCTAAGTAATCCACAACAAACCTTATCTATAACCAATCCTTAACTAGCCATATCCGCCTACGGTTCCAGATTTTTTCATATTGTTTTTAAATAAATATAATGAAAAAATATTCGTCTTATTCAACTCTTTTCTAAACAATATTGTTTCTGGGTAGCTTTTAAATGTTAAGATAACTTTGCTACAATCAATGATCAACTTAACTGAATTAGGCTCACTACTTGTACACTACATAGTTCATGTTCACGCTAAAACGTGGACTGCAAGATTCTAGAAAACCTCGTACCCAATTTATAACGTACTGCTCAGTTATTACGCGCTACGCAATTCTTTTTTATGTTTCGCGTACACTAAAAAAGGCGCAAAAAGATTACGGGGCTGTTATATTAAATAACCTGAACAAACATGGGACTTTTCATTAAATATGTTTCGTCATAGATATTGTATTCTATTTGAATTATTGAATAAATAAGACTGGCCAGCTTTGCAGAGTACATATATCATACATTAAGTATTCCAAATTTTAAAACTACTGCAAAGACTTTTGTGTAGCATTGCGCAATCCTGCTTTCCTAACCTTTTCCTTCCTTTATGCCGGCAGAAAGCATCCTCGTGTTTCACAGCGCAACGCTACCATTACTACGGGCAAATCAACAGTCATACTTAATGCAGTGAAATGCAACTACGAAAGGCGACTGTGAAAATTGACACGATGAAATGACAAGTGCCCTCGATGATATTTCAGATTGTCGTGATGGACACGGCTGATCACCGACAAGCCCAGGATCGAGAGGGCATCAGTGAGTGGAAAACGGCGCAATCAAACGCACTTGTGGTCGATACATCAAGTTCTTTTGCACTCGCCGACGCCGGGATTTCTCACGAGCCAAACCAATGCCACCAAAATCAGTCACTCATTTAGTCACAGATTTCGTTGGCATGGGCATTGTTCGCGAGAAAATCCATAAAGAAAACACGAACAGCAGTCGGCTCACAGCTGTACTGCGCCGTTATGGCTAGCGCCAGTGTTTGTTTATTTTTTCAATAACTACATGTAAGTTAGCTGAAAGTAGCCTCGACAAATATTTCGCACCTTGTTTTTCTTTTTCTTCCAATGAGCGGCAAACAACTCGCTTATCGCGGCTCGAAAGCTCGTTTACACTGGAGCGCAACGGTTAATCATTTGAACATTGTTGTTCTACAGCACTCAGTGAGAATTTCAATAGCAGAGAGTGCCGATTAAGCTGAAAGTCAGAGTGGTTTCGTGAGCACGCACGCACACACACACACACACACACACACACACACACGCACACACACACACACACACCACACACACACACACACACACAACACACAAACAAACAACAAACTTGGGCACATGAGCTCCGCATTCTCGACTTTTTTTCTATAAAGGCATCCTCGATATTGCTACAATCTACTTTGAGGTGTTGTAATTATATGTGACCCACACAGAAATGCACTTTCCCGCCACGGTGGTCTAGTGGCTATGGTGCTCGGCTGCTGACCCGCAGGTCTCAAGATCGATTCCCAGCGGCGGCGGCTACATTTACGATGGAGGCGGAAATGCTGTAGGGCCGTGTACTCAGATTTGGGTGTACGTTAAAAAACCCTAGGAGGTCGCAATTTCCGGAGCCCTCCAATGCGGCGTCTCTCATAATCATGTTGTTTTGGGACGCTAAAGCCCACATATAAATTATTCAATCAGAAATGCACTTTAGAGGCAACCACATTACTTTTTGTACTCACTGGCAAGTCCGCCTCCTTTTTTTTTGGTTAAAAAGGTTTGCTCCGAAAGTACGCTCGCATGAATGGCGGCAGCCAACGCAAGTTCGTGCCGCATTGTGCTGTCTCTCTCACGTTCGTGCCTGTTAGCGCTGAATGTTGTTGAGTTCATGACTCAGGGCACAACTAGTTGATCACACAGCAACCGACGGCGCATGTCGCTTGCAGTGGCGCAACACGCATTTTGAGATCTATATTGAATTTGTTCTCGGCTATATACCCGTTGGTATGATTGGTATGACGTAGATCATGCCTGTATCTCCACAGATATCTGCCCCAAATGTAATCTCACCTTCAAACGTTTCTGTCAGTGCTCTCGTAAGCATTCTTTATAGTTAACAGAAGGCACCACTACGGCCAAAGAGTTACCGGTTGGGTTCTGTGCATCAGTGACAGGGTGTTCAAGAGTCAACAATAAATCACGACTCCAAATCACGCAAGTGCTTTATTAGAACATAGTCATCGAAACATAAGAGGTCCCGCGAGCAATATGACACGACTAAGGTGCTATATGTACCAATAATACAGTCGTATCAATAGTCCAGGACGTACAACGCCATGACCAGATTTTACCCGGAAGCATTATTACAAGTATTTATAACACGTTTGATTCCCTCTTAGTTTTAATGCGTCTCAGTTTACTGAAATAAGCTCCAACACTACGCAAAGCTTGTCATTCGTGACATAACCTTCACGTTCGAGATTATCCGGGCTGAAATAGCCTTGCACGAAAAAACATATTCCGGCATTACTTCCATCAACGGGTCTTGTAAAGTTTTTGACACCATCCCCCTAGACTTCCTAATTTCTGCACTCTTTGTTTTGCGTTGGGTGCTTAATGGTCAAGCGAACCTTTTGCTTGAATGGCCATTGAAGAACGTCGTCGATCACTCCTTTGTGCAGCTGAATGTGAGGATCAAGGTAAACTTGTTGTTCCTCCTTGTTTAAATATGCACCTGGGGACAGGTGATACCCAATATGTATGCTCTTTTCTCCTGATAAAGGCAATACCCCTTCGACAAAGCGCTCTCTCTCATGGCTTTGAATCCTGCGACACAGAATTCTAGTCGCCTGACAGGAATTGTCGATAAGGCCAGTATGTTTTCTGTATTTATGGCACTTGCATATATTTGCTTGTCGCAAATCTTTTCCCCAACAATCGTGGCAACAGTTTTGGCACAGCCGTTACAGATTGTTTTTGTTGCATCCTTCAATTCTTTTTGAAGGGTTTCCTTTAGCGCACCACTTCCACCACTAATATATTGTGTTAGATCAGAACTAAGTAACTTTGCTGTGTCTTCATTTTTCCGTTCCAGTCTGAGCGCCGTGCTTTCCACGTTTTTAAGCGTTTCATGTAAATTACTCATAGTTTCTGCAAGCTGCTGTAGCTTTTCATTGTGGTCATTTAGTGTTTCGTGCATTGCTTCCACGAAGGATGCAACGCTGCCCAACGTGCTAGTCCTGCATTAATATTTCTAGCAGTGTTTCTTTAACCATGCTCATGGAATGTGAAATTTCATTAGGTCGGTTACATTGAACTTGTGTAAGGTGGCTTAAAGTCTGTTTTATCTCACCTACTCGTAATTGTATATTTGCATTTAAAGCCACCATCAATGCTTTTGCGGTAGTGGTGTTGCTTTCCCGATTTCCGGACGCGACAGACATCATTTGATCTACTCACTCATTCTGCATGTGCGCGCGCACATTATCACAGCGTACGACCATAGAACACCTCGGACATGAAGTGGAGTGGTGGTTGCACTCTTTGCAAAAGTGTTCGTTCAGTTCTGATGCAGCCAAGACAACGTTGCACCCACGGTCTTGGTTCCAGCACTGCACCTGATGAAGAGAATGAACAAGATTTCGGACAATAATAATTAAGCAACGTTTAAAATGTCT